TGATCCCGTTGGGGGGGGGGGGGGGGACCAAAAAAAAACCAAAAACAAAACCCCTGCCTCCCCCCAACAGATTGTTAGCAAGAACAGTAACTTATCTCTTATTAGGAGCAGGAGTTCATCTGCCCCAGCCTAGCATGACCATGCTACTTTACTTGAAGAGGTAGGCAAGAGAGTTGGAGTTCACATCCCTGCCAGGTATCCTTTTCTTATACTAAAGTATGCCAGCATTTTAAGTGTGTATAGTACTTTTACTGGTTCCCTAGATAACATGAATTATGCTTTCTTTAATGTTTTTATACCAAGTTATTAAGACAAAAGCTACTTACACAGCATGGACCCAAGCACTCCATTCCATTGCAATGAGCCTTCTAGTCAGTTCATGATAAAACAACTTCTGTAAATTAACAGGGCTATCTTGAAGCACAAAAAAGTTTGGCAGGCCACAGAGGGGGAAAGTTTGTCGAGTTTTCCTTTTTTCTCCTTGTATTTTTGTTCCTACAATAATACAGCAGGATGATCTCTGCTAGAAGGGTCTGTTGCTACAAATGTGCCAATTAAAGTGAGATTTGCCAGTGTAAGTTTACAGGTAGCTGCAGCAACACTGAGGTTTTTACATAGCTATCTAGGTACAAATGCTACTGTAGGAACTGTATGAAAGAGCCATTTCTGGTATATTTTATACACACACAACTACATTTACACTGTTTTCCTCTCTTACTACCTATGTTAGTTTGGTTTTTAAATTGGACAGCTAAAATAGGCAAACTAGATTATATACGCACAACTTACCCAGTACCTTGGTGAAGTAAAACCTGAATGCAAAGTCAAAATAAACTTAACTGTAAAGGTATGCTCTGACACTTGGTCTCCCCCCTGAAGAAAATGTGCTAGGTGTAATCCAAGAGAGGAAGAGGTAAAGAAAAATCTCCACCATATATACATAACGTGGAAGGCAAAGATAAAGAAATAAAAAGACTTCTTCTTACTTGTAGATTTACCTTAAAAGATTGAAAAATTATTTAAATAAGACAGCTGCAACATTTAATACCTTTGGAAGTACATTTCTCGTTTGTACATTCAGGCCAAATTCTTCATTTGTAAACTAGAAATTGTGTGTTTAACTAGATACTGTTGTTTCAATTGCCTAGTTGTTTTTAGCTTCTAGTTTAGGCATGGAGTTTTTTTCTGCTGCATAAGTAAATCCCTCTAAAATTAAACTACACACACCATGAAATGAAGACTTGGCAGAATTATTATTCTATTTTCTACAGTAAGTACATTAGTAAGAGAACTTGCAGGTAATTCCCCCCACCCACCCAAAACACGAACACAAAACGTCACATGCATTACAGGATTGTGGTTGGTTGTTTTTTGGGTTTGGGTTTTTTTTTTTTTTTTAATGTTTTTGGTGGTTTTTTTCCCCCTTTTTTTTTTAACTTTACTACCAAAAATGCCCCAAAACAAACAAACAAAAATCAAACACAACACAACTGTATATTTTCTACGCTGCTATTAAAAATACATTTTATCTGTAAGGAGAATAAGCAAGTTTTCACATAAAATTGAAGACATTCTATGTGAGAGAAGGGGTTGAAGAACAGAAAAAGGATGAAAGGAGGAAGACTAAGATAAAAAGTGTATTGATAGCTAAACCAGAAATCTACCGAAATCCAGGAGTGTCTGCACAAAGCTTTGTATCTCTATGTTTTGGTCATAAAGCTAATATAGTCATGCTATCAAGAGTGCTTTTCCTACCTCTATCCTTGTGTCTTAAGATGAGGGTCTGTGGGTGAGAGAGACAGACAGACAGAGGAGACCTCAATAAAGGCAGGGAATCATGTATGCAGGCAGCTCCATTAGATCCCTCTAAGCCCCTGAAAGTGAGAGCTCTGCTGCAGAAGATGGAATTAAAAAAGGATTCTGAAGATGCAGAACTGAAATTCCATGGAAGCAGGCTCTCTACACATATGCAGAAGTCAGGAATGCTGTTAGAAAAAAAAGAAATTAAATCGTTAAAAAAAAAAAAAAGAAAAAAAGGTGTGTTTTTGTGATTGGGGTGTTCACAATCAAGGAAGCAAGGAAGGAGCCTTTCCTTGATTTCAGTATTTCTTAGTTGATTTATCAAAGACCAAGCCTAATATAAAAATACCATGTTCAGTTTTTATTGGTTTATGGTTAAGAGTTTATGACAACACCAAGCTCAATTCAGTCTCTTTCTGACCCCATGAAAACCAGCTATAAGTGAACTTCTGGCTACTATAACTACTAATAAGCTCCTTAAATGCTACTATAACTACTAATAAGCTCCTTAAATTCTGTGTAACACACTGTATGCAAAAGGTACCTACTAGCCAGCAATCTGACAGTTCAGTGGAGTAAAACATATCAAAGCCTTTCTATTAAACACTGTATATTGTCTCAGATGCCCAAGAACATGACATAAGATTAAACATTTACCTTGTGCCTTTTGCTCATACAACAAAAGCGCTCCCTTGATATTTCTTGGCCAAAACACCTCTCACTGATAGTGTTATACACCATTTGCACACAACCGTACTCCATTGCTTGTGTTACTTACTCATTAATGCAAAGCAACACAGATCCACTATGAAAACAAGGCTATTGCTTCACTGTTCATTGTGACCCTTTCCCAACATCATTTCAACTTAAAACTAGAAATCTGAAGGTGAAAGATACTGAAAGCCTCTTAAGTGTTCCACAGTCTAAAGCATTTCATTTTTTGTCCACCAGTGCTACTCTCCCCCATAACACAGACATCAGAAAGAACATCCCCGTATCTCAGTTCTCCCAGTTTAGCTTCTTAGTTTAAACTAGGAATGAGACAGGGTTTGCACTCAGATGGCACAGTTTGAAGTGGGGCAGTTTCAACAAGCGTGTCTTGTTCTGTGCATTCCATGAAGAGAGTAACTTTCTCACATGGCAGACAGGACATTTTGCAGTGATAGCTTTTTTGACAACTGCTGGTGAATTTGCAAAGCTCTCCTCTCAGAGCTCACAGTTCAGTGCCACTAATACACCATTCAATATGAATAAACACACTGACAGTTCAACTCTTGCTGCAAATACATAATTATTTTTTTTTTTACTACATTCATTTGGGCAAAAAACTGAATTAGGGATAATCTCACTTCACTATTAAGAAATATAAACACTGCTGTTCTCAAGCATCAAAATTTTAAGATCCAAATGTGTATGTAGCTGTATCTTGATAATACACTGTTTACTTCTCCCCCTGCCCCCATCCGTTTAAACAATAGTAGTTTCACTTTATTTTTGTCATATGCTTACTCAACACTGTAATATTTATACTGCAAACACACTGGAATTTATAACTCTTGCTCATTCTTAAAACTTACATTTAGAAGTACATTCTTTCACTCCTGCCTTCTGGTTGCTTTTGTTAAGGAACCCTCTTCCCTCTAATTCTTAGTGTCAGCAGCCTTTAAAGTGATATGCATATATTTAAAAAAGTAAAAAAGATTCAGCTGAAATATTTCAAAGTATTACTTTAAAGGTATCGGTGTACTTTTGGCTACTATTGCATTATTATTTCATTCAGGTATAACCTATGATATTCAGTTAATTGACTCAACTTAATTGAGGCTACTTTGTGGTCGTAGAGGAAGACGAATTAAGAGAATTAACTATACACATTAATTGCTATTCTTTTAAAGTAACAGTAAGATTTTGAACTCGTGTTTAAGATTGCAATTCTAAAAAACAGTCTGTGTCTAACCTAGCAATTCTATGCTAGGGTTGGGGTTTTTTTGTTTGTTTTTGGTTTTTTTTTTTTAAATTTTGGGTTTTTTTAATTAAATTACTGTAATCCAGCAATAATTAGCCCCAATTCACCTCAAAAAGGAGCAGTCATTCAGGATCAAGCTTATACACACTCTCCATGTATAATAGAACTTCCCATACTTCTACCAAGTAGTTGAATATTTCTAAGACTATTATCAATTTGTGTTAAAAAGTCACAATTAATGCTTTGGATAATTTTCTGAAGACAAAGATGAATATTTGAAGAGAGATAACTAGCACCGATCTGGAGTTTTGGTTGTAAATCATGGGTAAGGTTGAGCATACAAACTTTGACAAAAAAGGGACTGTCTGTTAACTATTTCCTGATCATGTCAACAATTTTTCCCATATAACCATGGCAAAAGACTGGGGGAACTACAGAAGTTGTTTGCAATGTAAAATAATAATAGAAAGTTAAGCAGGTAACTGCTGAAATCTACTGTTACTAAATTTGGAGAATCTATATCATGTGTCCAGCCATTTCTCCAAGGATGACGAACAAACATATTTAGATTAGCTGGAGAACTACTGCATGAGATAAACATAAAATAACAAAGACAGCTAAAAATAAAAACCAGGAAGTAAAACCAATAAGACATTCAGAAGTACAAAAATACCTGGAAATTTGGAAGTGCAGTTATGGTCTACCAGCATCAAATTCAGTTTTACATCCTTTTTACTTCACTTCAGCACTCCAACCACTGCTAATACTAGCTTGACTCACATATTCGTTTGTATGAGATGCACTTTTTTTTCCTCCTATTGCAGTCACGAAAACAAACCAAAGCCAAGCCAGTTATTTGGTACTGCAATATTGATGCTTCTATTGGAGCGATGAATAGCAACCAAAATGCAGCAGCTTTATGTGGAAGGCAAGAAACTAAAGGTAGTCAGTTCTGACTTGAACAAGTACAGGATGTCAAACAGTCAACAGTTTTTATAGCCTGCTAGCTAAAAAAGCAGAACTAAGGGAAGCTGATACAGCACACAAATATTATCAATGTATGTTTTAGTATATTATCAGTATATCTTAGTATCAACTCTAGCTTAAAAATAAAATTGAATAACTCCTCCCACCTCTTTTCCCAGCTTCTGAAGAGTGTTTTGTCAGATGTTGATGCATTAACTAGACTGCTA